TGCACTCCAGCCTGGGGGATAGAGTGAGACTCCGTCTCCAAAATAAAATAAAAATAAAATAAAGTATACTAGTAAATTATTCAACAAAATATATAGCTTTAGTCAAATGTAGCTATAACTATTAAAGCAAGTTGACATATAGAAGAGGCCAAAATAAATTCCACCCTAAAAAATACACCACAGAAAATGCATGTCACTGGATTTTAAAATTAGGGTTCAATTTCAATTCTGAGTCTCACATGATTGTTTTGAAGATACAATGCAATCATGAAAATAGTTTCTCACTAGAAATATTACATAAATGTAAGATCATGTTATTTAGAAGACACTTTTGCTTAGTAAAACTGTATGTAACTCACAGCATCTAAGGATGGATGGGTATCAGAAAATAAGACCTAATAAACATCACAACTTGGCCAGGCACGGTGGCTCACTCCTGTAATCCCAGCACTTTGGGAGGCTGAGGCAGGCAGATCACCTGAGGTCAGGAGTACGAGACCAGCCTCGCCAACATGGTGAAAGTCTGTTTCTACTAAAAATATAAAAATTAGCCAGGTGTGGTGGTGGGTACCTGTAATCCCAGCTACTCAGAAGGCTGAGGCAGGAGAATCACTTGAACCCAGGAGGCGGAGGCTGCAGTGAGCTGAGATCGTACCACTGCACTCCAGCCTGGGTGACAGAGCGAAACTCCATCTCAAAAAAAAAGAAAAAAACAAAAACAAAAACCTCAACTGGACTAGTTTACCTACTTAATGGGTGAGTAAGAGACAGTCAATCTTGGTGAGATAAACCATATTTAACACTGTCTTACCATGTCAATTTAAAACTGGCTAAATGTGCCTTTGATTCTCATTCTTGGCTCAAAAAGCAAATGGAAAATCTGATAGGAGGTCTTTGAATATTCAATTATAAAGAATTTGAATACTTTGATTTTTATCTAGTTGGTATTAAAATGAAGATTATGCTTTTCAAGTTAAAAGTAATATTTTCTTAAAAAGGGAATTTTTCATAAAAGCCAGGCGATATACCATCTACCTGCTGATGATTATGAAGTCTTGTAGTACTTTTGTAGCAAAGCTTTCCATATCCTTCAAGATAACCACAACAGGAGGAGACAGCCATTGACTAGAAGTAGTCCTCTTTTTGCTTGGCATTTTTGGGTCTGTCTTCTTTTAAACCATTGCAGAAAGAAAGAGTTAAAGGTAAGCCTTACCACCCAAACAATGTTATAATGCCACATGTTGACATATCTCTCTTTAAATTTCACAGTAACACTGTTTTTTTTCCTACCACATGATAAATAGAAACTCAGGTTACTAGAATCTTTCTGTGTCTGACATGGGAATAATAACCAAGAAGAAAAAGGTTCAGTAAAACTCTAAAATTCATATGAAACATTTATATTTTCTGCTAAGGAAATGACAGAAAAAAACATGGAAGAAGAGAAAATTTTCTACAAAATTGATTTTTCGATTGGTAGAAAGTTATATTCTGCTTTGCTTTACAGTGAGAACTAGTATTTTTAATGAAAAAAACATAATGAATAGTAGTACTTGCTACTTTGCCACCGTGAAATTTCAAGCCTGAAATGGATACTAGGTATCATCTGGTCTAATCTCAATTTTTAAAAAGATATCTGACACAAACTGAAAGTAGCATTTGATTTCTGGAAAGTCTAAAATTGTGGAGCAAATAAGGTATTCTGGTTAAGTATTAGACATAGTTGAGTCCCTATATAAGGCAAAATGAAACTTCACTTATGATGATTTCAGCAAAAATGTTGATTGGAAAATGTAACCACAGTATTTTTTTTTCCTATACTGTCTGGGTACATAGCACCATAACCTAAGACTATGGTTTTAGGATGCAGTTACCTAGTGTTAACCTAGGTTATTCTTTTTCACCAGACTGTCATGGTAGAATGGAACTTCTTTTTATTTATCTGTTTGTTGAACATACTTGACTTAAAGAGTGCTGATTCCCTAAGAACTCTAAACATAAAACAAATTAGATTTTAGAAAATCCATGATTACTCTTCATTGAACTAAGTTGACAGTGGATACTAGCAGCATGGTTCTATCGGATAAAGCAAACACTGAGGAACCCAAGAGATAATATATTAAAGTTATAGTTATTGTCACAGAGATGGAACCTGCAACAGAGGCAATTCCTGATGCTCTGTTTTTGTCATTAGAGGACATTCTCCCACAAATATGTCCTTGTAAAAACCTAAGCACTTACCAGGAATTAGGCTACATACTAGTAAAAAAGATTTTAAAATTTGAGTAGCATTAGAAAAATAGCTACTTTTAAATTAATACCTAGTGTTGCAGAAGCATATCCTTGTTAGATCAAAACAGTACTATGTCTAATATTATTCCAAGCCACATCAATCATATGTCAGTTTCCTTGGGGGAGAAAATCGTCAGTTTATATCTACCTGTGTGACAGTCATATACCAACTGGAAAGTGAATCCATTGAATAATGTGTTTTTCTTTGGGTGACCTGAACACTTTCCTCCTCTTTGGATTTTATATCTACACAGCAGTCCATCAACTGTGAGACCAACTTTTGCAAAAAATGTTTCATATCTGTGGAATATAAAAAGTAAGAAAGCTTATCTCTGCCTCTTCTATAAATAAAACCAAAGCTCTTGAAACTTCTTGATCAGTATATTACTCTTTTTTGGTAGAATGTGTTTTTTTATACTTACCATCAATATAGCTAATATAACATTTAACATTAACTATTGATGCTCATTAGTACCTGCATTAATTCAGACTAAGACTAGACCAAAGCTTATGCATATTATAATTTTTTTTTTTTTTT